TGCGTGGTTGTGTGTGTGGTTGTGCACTTGCATGTGTGTGGTTGTGTGTTTGTGTGTGGTTGTTTGTGCATGATCATGTCTGTGTGCAGTTGTGAGTTTGTGTGTGTTGTGCATGTGTGATTGCGTGGTCGTGTGTGTGATTGTGTGTTTGCGTGTGTGGTTGTGCCTATGTGTGCGTCTGTGCCCCAGGCCGTGGCCCATGCTCTGGGCAGTGCGTCCACCTCTGCCCTCCCTGAGCTGAGCTCCTGGTCCTTGCTGTGCCCTTCACTCTCTCCCTCAGCTTCACAACTCTGAGCTTGTGCGTGATGAGTGTGCACTGCTTTGCACAGTGCCGTCCTTTCCTGAGGTTTCTCCCCAGGGCCACTGCTGGCTGCCGGCCCTGACGTCTCTGACCCTGGTCCTTCTGGGTGGGGGGTGCCCCCACTTCCCTGGGGGCTTGGTCACATGAGGTGGGCCCGAGGTTGCGGTGCAGGGCTGAGCTGCTGGCCGACCCCCTGGGCCCCAGCCAGGAAGGTGGGCAGGCAGAGTCCAGGAGGGGTGCCCGCATCCTGTGTGCTCCTCAGGGGTCCAGGCAGGGTGAACACGGGACACCTGGCTGAGGCGTCCAGGATGGCTGCCCACGCCTCTGGACTCACACCCTAGAACATGGCGTCCCAGGCCTGCCGCTTTGGGAGCTGGGCCTGGCCCCAGCCCTGGGGAGAAAGCCCTTCCCCAGGACAGGAAGGCCCAGGAAAATCAGCCCTGAAGGTCTGGGGCGGAGGGTGAGGCTGAGCAGGAGGACAGCAGGACCCCAGCGGTGGGCGGGTGCGTGGCGCCTCCTCTCGGGGGGCCTTTCCGCAGAGTCCCGAGAAGACCCTTCAGGCCTCGGGTGTGGGAGCGCGTCTCCGATTGATTCAAGCAGGTCAAGTCCACCAACCCCAACTGCCCATCCTGACCTCGTTCAAGCCCAGTCCGAGGGTGCTGGGCGGCCACCTCCAGAGCTTCCTCACCTCCCCAGGCCCCAGCTCTGCCCCCTGAAACTGCTCCGCCTCCAGCCGCTCCCTCCTGCCTCTGTCGGAGGAGCTGGGGGCTCGAGGGGCTTCTGTCTCTGGGCCTGCCTGTGTCCAGGAGGGCCCGTCCCTGCAGCAGGTGCAGGATCCCCTCTGAAGGCTGAGCCCTGCTCCTCCTGGGCGTGCCCTGCACTAGGTGTACACGTCCATCCTGTAATGGGGTTACTTGCCCATTTTGGCTGGTGGCTAGTGGGCTGTGACCCGGGTGTGTGAACAGGTCTTCCGGCTACTGTGGGCACATCCACAGGGCCTTCTGAACTCGTCCGTGTGCTTCACCTGGAGAAGCGGTCCCTTCCGTGTGCCGGCCCTGGCCCCTGCACGGACTCCTCTTGTCCAGGGGTCAGACGTTCTCGCTGGGCCCCAGTGGCCTGGGATCGACAGTGAGAACATTTGGAGGGACTGTGCACTGTGACCCTGAGGTGGCCCTGTGGTGCTCCAGGTCCCCCGCCCAGAGTGGGAAAACAGCTGTGGAGGGTGCTTGGGCATGGTACCAAGTGCGCCTCCCACTACCGGGGACACCTGGGGGTCTCAGGGTTGGAAGGAAAGGTCTGGGCTGAGGAAACTGGCTGAGCCCTGGTCCTACAGGAGGACCTGGTCAGTGGATCTGTCCCAGGGCCTGTGACCCTGCACCCCAAATTTATCTGTAGGCACACACGCGCTTGGAGCTGCTCTGCAGGTGCTGGGGACATAGGAGGGTGACAGGAGGTCAGGGGCTGGAGGACTGAGGTCTGGGAGCCCTGGGGACAGGAGGAGCAGGACGAAGACCAGGTTCCCAGGAGCCGGCGCCAGGCCTGCTGGTGGGGGGAGCAGGAGACCTGGGCAGACTGGGCGGGTGCAGGCCAGGCTCTGGGAGACACGGGGCTCAAGGCCAGCATCAGCCCCTCTCCGCAGCCGACCATGTGGTCCTGGCTGTGGACATGGACGCAGGCAGCTGGTGCTTTGGCCAGAACCATGGGTCTGAGGGGGACAGGACTTCCTTCAGCTGCCCAGGCCAGATCTTGGGAGGAATTCTGTTTGCCCAGTGATTCAGAGAAAACAAACCCGTGCGAAAGGGCTCAAATCAGAGTGGCCCCACCAAAAACCAAAGTCACACTGCTCCTTTTCTCCCTGGTGCTGAGGTGCTGACGCCGCCCAGCCAGGCCAGGGCTCAGCTCCCCCTGTGCAGGGCAGGGAGGCCCCGCGGCCATCGCCCTCTCTGGCCCCCTAAGCGGAGCAGGGAGAAACTCAAGATGACGTCCGCTTATCAAGGAAGTTCCTGGCTGGGTGAAAATCCACTGGGGAGCTGCCCCTTCTGTCAACACAGCCGTAATTCCTCAAAGTGTCAGGTTGCCCCGCTGGGCTGCAAGGGGCCTCCCCGGGGCCAGGAGGGCCCGCTTCCTCCTCGAGAGCTCACGGAATCACTCTCCAGTTCTCACACCAGCTCCCATCAAACAGGACGTCATGTCCTCCCCGCAAACTGCTGACTTGGCAGTCGGAGTGCTGGTCTTGCTGCTGGTCTTGCTGGTGGGCCCATCCCTGGACCCTCGGGCCTGCGCCATGCATCAGTGACCGGGAGTCCTACGAGCCTGTCAGTAAACCTACCGTTATTTCACATGCCGCCATGTCACCTAGAAAGGGGTGGGTGCCAGAGTGGTTCAGCGTGTCTGAGCGGTGCCAGGTGCCGGCCCCGGGAGCAGCAGGCAGGAGCGTCCTGGCCTCTGGGCCTCTGGGCACTGTCCAGGACCAGGATAGCTCAGAGCATGCCGCACTGACCTTGTCCTCTGCACAATGGGTCCTACAGCCAAGGGTCCCGAGGCCTAGAGAGGGTGAAGGAGTGGTCCACGTAGGCACAAGGGCCATCACCTCCTGCCCTGGAGGGGCAACATGCCAGCCCCACGGAGCCCTGTGGCCCCACAATGGGGAGCGTGGGAAGCTGCCCACCCCTGGCCTCACAAGACAGAGCCCCTTGCCCTTCATTCCTGGACAGGAGAAGGAAGGCTGAGGCCTGGCTAGTCTGGGCATTTTACAGGGCATGGCCCCCAGGTCCTACTGGCCAGAACGGGGCTGACCCAATGTCCTGCTGACCCAATATCCTGCAAATGAAGGTGACAAGCTGGGACAGTGGGGGGGACCCCAACTTGGGCCTGGAGTTATTGAAACCAGAGGCCCATCCCACTCACCTGGGCCCGTGACAGTTGGGCAGGGCCAGGGTCAGGCAGGGCCAGGGTCGGGCAAGGCCAGGGTCGGGCTGGGCCACGGGCCTTGTTTTCCTGACCTGAGCAGAGTCTTGCTGTCCTGGTGGGGATGGAGAAGCAGAGTGGGAAGGGCACCCTAACCATGCGGCTCTGCTTGAGGGGACTGGGGCCAGTCATGTTCACCTCACACATCTGCGGGGTGCCGGGCTGACCACTCTGCCCATGAGGAGCACCTGGCATCCTTGGGGTCCTGGGGGTCCTGGGACAGATCTGTTTTCATCCCCAAGGAAAGCAGGGCCACCGTAGGGTCAGTGGCACTTCCTTGTCCCCCAGGCCCCACTCCCCACCTGTGTGGGGTGCAGGATACCCAGACTTGGCATTCCTTGCCCCAATGTGGGGCCCGACACCAACCGGATCTGGGCTGGCCTGGGGCTTAATCTCCACTGAGTCACCTGGGCACAGCCTGCCAGGACAGAGGGGCGGTTGGGTGCTGGCTTCCTGTCCCGGGGGCTGGAGGCAGGATCAGCAGCCTGACCACGATGCTCTGGGACGTGCCCGGCCCCCGCCCTGCCCAGGCCCCAACATTTTCCCTATCTCCATGGCAACTCCAGGGGCCGCTCGTCAGGGCCACAACCCCAGCCCTTCTCGCTGGGCTCCAGCCACACTCGCTTATCTGATCCTGGAGGGAGGGCCCTGGCTCAGCCAGGGCCAGGCCCAGCGCTGAGTGGCCTTGGGGCTCAGCGGGGGTGAGGGCTTGCAGGGCTGCTGCCTGGCCAGGTGCCCCACGTACTTCATGTCCCCCAGGGTGAGTGAGATTCCACTGGCCTGGCACAGTCCCTGTCCCAGTGACCTTCCTTTTGCCAGCCATGGGAGAAGGGCCCTCATATTTAGGGACTAGTCATTGGGCCACACGCTCCTAACGCTGGCCTAAAAACTGACTCTGGCCCCCCCAAAGGTTGGGCAGGTCCTGCCCCAGGGCAGGGAGAAGCCGTCAAGGAGCCAGTGGATCCCCCACACTGTGGCAGGCAGAATGTGCCCAAGAGCCCTGGGGACAGAGGCCGTGTGGAGCCCCTCAGGATGGGCAGGACTCCTGGTGCTCAAACCTGTAGGCCTCGGGGACAGTCTGGGGACCCCCGAGGCCCTCCTCCAGGTCTGGCAATGCTCATGACGTGATTGATGGCACCTTCTCAGCCAGAGCCATCAGGCCAAGTCTGCTAGGGCCCACCAGTAGCTCTCCAGCCCAGTGGGCATCAAGCTCTTCACAGCCAGAGGCCACCAGTGAAGGCCACTGGCCCTCTGCTGCCCAGGGCCTGCGAGGGGCTGGGAGCCTGAGGCCTAGCTGGGTCTTGGGCAGGTGGGGCTGGGGGCTGCCCTGAGGAGGAAGCGAGGGTAAGGATGACCCCCAGCCAGGCCTGTGGCAGTCTCAGGGGGCACTGGCCAGCTGGGCAGATGCTGTGGTTTCTCGAGGCACCAGGAACTCAGGGGTCAGGCGGCCAGACACAGATGGTGTCAGGGAAGGTCCCGATGGGGAGACGGGGGGCGGGGGAGAACTCCCCGCAGCAGGACTGGGGGACCCCTGGGAAGCCAGGCCCCACCCACAGACACACCCCTGTCTGCCTGCTGCCCGCTACTGACCAGCCAGCGCCCACTGTTTACCTGGGTGAGGGGGGACCAGAGGCTGGCTCCGCCCACCCACGTGAAGCTCCTGGAGCTGGAGCCAGCCCGGGGCTATAAAAGCCTGCGGCTGAGCAGAGTCACTCCTCAGAGGCCGCCTGTGGGGACATCTCCCCACTCTGCACACCATGGCTGTTGGCCGGAGGAAGCTGGCCCCACTCTGGGCCCTGGCCTTTGCCCTGGCCTGCACCCGGCACCCAGGTAGGCTGGGACCTCCAGCTTCCCCAGGTGGCCCCCCAAAGCCCCGGGGAGGCCCCGGCCCCAGGTGGGCAATGGCAGCTGGGTCCTGGGCTAGCTAGGTGTGTCCACGAGGGGCTCCAGCCATGAGCCCTGCCTGTGGCCTTGACCACCCTCAGCAGTGCCGGGCTTGGTGGTCGGCTGGGCTCTGGGCTGCCAGGCTTCTGAGGGGAGAAGCAGGAGCCATTTTCAGAGTCCGCTCAGGCCTGGTCAGGGCCGGCTCTCTGCCCTCCCCACAGGCCTGGTTCACCGGCTCCTGCCTGTCTAGGCTCCTGGGGGTGGCCTGGGGTACGTCTCGGGGCAGGTCTCACCCACCCCTGCACCCCTGAGAGTACTGGGGCTCAGGGTCCCGAGACTTCTGTGACGTCCCTGCCTCTGCTGACGGTGCCCCGGTGATGTCCAGGGGTGGGAGAGACCGGCCTCCTGGAAGGGCAGGTGCCTTCCCTGCCCACCTTCCCTCCACCGGGCAGCCCCAGAGTCTAAGCCTCTCCGAGAACGTGCTGGGCCCCCTGCCCCTCCTGGCCACCCCTTCCTTCAGCGTGGCTCTCCCTGGGCTCAGAAGTCTCCCAGGACCCTTGGAGGGGTACTGGGCCCGCAGGGAAGGACAGGGTGAAGGGGGCTCCCAGGGGAGCTGCCCGTCTCAGACAGTGCCCCCCGAGTCCCCACCCCCTGACCCTCCCAGTGGCCTCCTGCAGCACATTCCCGGGGCCAGGACTGCTCCCTGAGGCTGGGGGCCTGGACCTCACGGGCCCTCCCAGGCCAGGCCCCCCGCAGCCCACTGAGGGGGTGTGCTGGCTGGTGAGGAGGGGCAGCCTCTGGGGGACGGCATGTCTGGTCCCACTCTTTCTCTGTCTGTTCCCCTGGGCTGGCCAGTTGTCACCTTACAAGACCCCGGGCACAGGGCACCAGGGAGATGAGGGCCCCCAGCCTGGCCCGAGGACCCCAGGGGCAGTGTAGGATTGGAGGTGGGCTCAGTGGACCGAGTCCACGCTCTGCCCCAGCCCCTCCTGTGCATGGCTGTGGGTGGGCCAGGCCCCTCCCCCACCCTGGCTCGGGGGCCTCAGGCCCGTGTCTGGGATCATCTGCCATTTGTGCAGCCATGGAGGACCCAGTCTCCCTGCAGGCCCTGCTCCAGCTGCCCTGGCCATCCTGGCCCACCCAGCCACTGGGAGCACCGGCTCACCCTGGCCCTCAGACCCCTGGGCTCCTGGGACAAGCTGTCACTGACCACATCTCTACTCCTGATTCCCAGTGGAGTCCAGGACGAGCATGGCTGGCTCTGTTCCCACAGCCCACACAGAGGACAGGCCCTGGCACAGGGCAGACACACAGTGACTGAGGGAACAGGAACCAAGGAATGGTCCCTGGAGACGCAGGGCCAGGGTGAGGCGGCCCGGCCAAGGCTCAACGGGCCAGCAGAGGGAACGCCCCCAGGGGTCTCTCTCTAGCCGCCGGCCCGACACTGACAAAGCCCACGTGGACGGAGATGTCCAGCCCCCAACAGGGCAGAGGGAACATCCTGCGCTGGCCACCCCGCACCTCCCTCCGTCTGCAGGCCTGGTGGCACAGCCGAGGCACCTGTCTGCAAGTCTCCTCAGGTTTGCCCCCTCCTCCGCAGGCCAGGCCCAGCAGGGCTCTCTGCAACCCGGCCGTGAGCCCAGCGCCGACCTCTCTCCCCTTCCAGGGCACAGCGGTGAGTCTTGGCCTCTGTTCCCTACCCTCTGCCTGCAGAGCCCCTGACCCCACCTGGGTGGGCACAGGGTCCCCAGGGGCCACTTGTCTGGGGCTGGCTCTACAGCAGAAGACATGCAGGTGTGCATGGCCTGGCCAGTCCCTGCCCGGCCTCTCTGGCCCAGCCTCGTACCGGTCATGGGTGGGTCCCTGAAGCTCAGGCTCTGAGGGACCTCAGAGGCTGCTGGCTCCACCGCCACAGGGCCAGCCGGGTGCTGGGGCTGGGGGCCGGGTCCCCCGTCTCCCCCTGTTTGACTCTGCTGCAGCCACCCGCACCCCTTTCAGGCTTTGGAGCTGGCTCTGGAGGGTGGCCAGAGGCTTCAAAGCGGGGGTTTTGGGGTGTTTCGGGTTACAGCCCCGTCTGTTTGCCTTTCCCACACCAGTCCAGTCCAGGAGCAGCAGGGCCTAATCTCCTCATCTCCTTGACCCAGGCTTTTTGCCTCCCGGGAGCAAGAGACCCCACCTACAAGCAGCAGGTTCCGGGGCCGTGAGGGCCAGCAGCCCGGGGCTCTGCAGGGAGACGGATGGGGAAGGCCCGGGATCGCTGGGTGTGGGCCGGGTGCAGCGCTCGGTGCAGGTCTCAACAGCAGCCGCCAGACTGGGCTTACAGGCCCAGAGCTTGGGTCCGCTGGCCCTGGCCCATCTCCTCAGGGCAGTGGCGTCCCTGGCTCCTGGAGGCACATCCCATGAGCTGCTGTCTCCACAGGTGACCCCCTCCTCAGGATGACTGACACCCCGCCTCTGAGCACCATCCCTGTGGTCCAAGGTGAGCGAAACCCGAGGCCCGGAAAGAGGTGTGGGTTAGCTGGGCTCCCCTCCCTCACACCTGCAGGGGCTGGTTGGAAAGGGAACCCCAATTCCAGGTGGAGGAAGCATTGGAAAATTGTCCCAAACTGCCATGGCCGGTTCCCAGAGTTCCCTGGGAGCAGAGGGGACCCCAGATGCCGCACCCCGGGCAGCAGCACGAGGGGGGACTCCGGGGACAGGTGGAGGGTCATCCCTGATGGGTGCAGTGGGCGCAGGCAAGCTCCTCCAAAGGCCACACTGTTGTCCTGCAGCCCCGAACCCGGCCCACAACGGGCGGGTGTGCAGCACCTGGGGCGACTCCCACTACAAGACCTTCGACGGGGACATCTTCCGCTTCCCCGGCCTGTGCAACTACGTGTTCTCTGCCCACTGTGGAGCCGCCTACGAGGACTTCAACGTGCAGCTGCGCCGCAGCCGGGCGGCCAACACCACCACGCTGAGCAGGGTCATCATGAAGCTCGATGGCCTGGTCATCGAGCTGAATGAGAGCTCCGTCCTGGTCAATGGCCACCCGTGAGTCCGAGCCCCGGGTGGCACCCTGTGGGGTGACGGTGGGGGTGAGCAGGGCGTCATCTGTGAGGGAAGAGGCCGCAGTGCTGGCCAGGCTCTCTGGGCCCTTCCCGGTTCCTCCAGAACACCAGGGCCTCCAGGCGCTCTCTCCTGTCCCTCACAAGGCTGGGGACCCTCCTGGCAGGACCCCCTCCTCGCCCTGCCCCGGGCGCCTCAGCCCCACCCTCTCTCCACAGGGTCCAGCTGCCCTTCAGCCAGTCTGGGGTCCTGATGGAGCGCAGCAACGGCAACCTGAAAGTCACGGCTCGGCTGGGCCTCGTCTTCATGTGGGACCAGGACGATGACAGCCTCCTGGTGAGGCTGCGGGTGGGGAGGACAGGGTGGACAGGCCTTCCGGGAGGACAGGGTGGTCCTCTGGGTGAGGCTGGTCAGGCGGGATGGATGGGCTTCCCAGCGGGGGTGCACACCTCCTGTCCTCCAAGGGCCTGGCCTGCCCTGGTCAGCTGTCCAGAGGGTGGAGACTGCCCTGGGCTAAGGGGGCAAGAGGGTAAGACCCTGCCCCACAGGAGGTGAGGGGCAGGACCAGCAGAGCCCTGGGGTCTGCTCCCACAGAGGAGCCCTGCTCAGGGCCGAGCTTCCTGCAGCTCCTGGGGTGGGCCTCACGCTGGGGTCTCTCTGGGGCACGTTCCCTCTGGGGATGGGTCCCTCCTATCCTGGGCTTCCTGGGACTGGCTCTGATGTGTCCCCCATTCCAGCTAGAGTTGGACAGCAAGTTCGCCAACCAGACCTGCGGGCTCTGTGGGGACTTCAACGGCATCCCAGTGTTCAACGAGTTCCTTTCCCACGGTGAGGCTCTCCAGGCCCCTGTCCCCTCCTCAGCTCCCTGGAGGGCCCCGTCTCCCAGAGTCCCACAGCCCCTGCCACACACTCTCACACCGCACACATGTGCCTGACCCGGGCACAGGCGTGTGCACATGCAGACCTGCTCACAGGCACGGTTCTAGCACACACCCTACACACTGGTGCGCAGACACACGTGCCCACTCAGTCCTGGCGTCTGCCTGCCTCAGGGGTGCGTGTGGGAAGCTGAGAGCCAGTCAGGACCCTGTCCTCCGTGCCGCTGCTCTGGACAGGGGCCCAGGACCCGCAGCCTCCCTGGAAATCGGCACCTGCTTCCTCAATGCTCGCGCCGTTGCCATGAGAAGTGGCGTTCCAACTGTGGCTGCACAGCCAGCCTCCCTGACCGTCCCCCAGCTGCCAGGCCACCCCCAGAAGGGTTGTCCAGTCAGGGGCATGGAGCCTGCCCAAGCCTCCAGCTGCCCCTGGCCAGCGAGGCCCTGTGCAGGGCTGGCCAGGGAAGCGCAGGCTCACTTTCTGCCCCTGGTGCATCCCAGCCCAGCGGCAGGATCAGTCTCCAGGCTCCCGCTGCTTCCTTGAGTCATTTCCAGACCCCCCGAGTGTCCCAGGGTGGGCAGGATGGGGAAGCCCACCTCGGGGCTCTGGCCCCTGGGACTTCATGGCCTGGGTGCTGGGCTGCAGGGTCTGGGGCCTGCAGGAAGAGCCAGCTCCTGTTTCCTACAGATGTCAGGCTGACCCCCATGGAGTTTGGGAACCTGCAGAAGATGGACGGGCCCACGGAGCAGTGCCAGGACCCCGACCCTGCACCCCAGAACTGCTCCATCAGCTCCGTGAGCCTCGGAGGGCAGGGCAGAGGTGGGGGGAGGGGCTGCGGGTGGTCCTCCGATCTCGCAGGGCATCCCCGAGCCTGGCCTCCTGCCTTGCCCCAGGGCATCTGCGAGGAGCTCCTGCGAGGCCAGCTGTTCTCGGGCTGTGCGGCCCTGGTGGACGTCAGCAGCTACGTGGAGGCCTGTCGGCAGGACCTGTGTCTCTGTGAGCAGGCCGACCTGCCCAGCTGCATCTGCCACACGCTGGCCGAGTACTCACGGCAGTGCGCCCACGCAGGGGGCCTGCCCCAGGACTGGAGAGGCCCCGACCTCTGCTGTGAGTGCCCAGCCCTGCCCTACCCCCAGTGCCCATTCCCACCACGCTGTCCTGCGGGAAAGGAGCTGGGTGTGACGACCTGCCCTGTGGCCCTGCAGACCAGACGTGCCCCCTGAACATGCAGCACCAGGAGTGTGGCTCCCCCTGCACAGACACCTGCTCCAACCCCCAGCGCTCCCAGCTCTGCGAGGACCACTGCGTGGCCGGCTGCTTCTGCCCTGAGGGTCAGTTGGGGGCCCACCCCTGCCAACCCAGGCACAGGACCCCCCAAACACAGATGCCTTCTGGGTGCCAGATGGCTCTGGCTGGACCACAGAACAAAGACCCCTCAGACCCTGCTGGGGGTGCCCCTGGGCCTCAGGGTGGCTGGGCCCTGGGGGTACCTGTGTCACAGCTGACCTGCTTCCTGCAGGGACGGTGTTTGATGACATCGGCCAGACTGGCTGTGTCCCCATGTCTCAGTGTTCCTGCATGTACAATGGGACCTCCTACGCCCCAGGGGCCAACTACTCTACAGACTGCACCCGGTGGTAGGTCCCTCCCTGTCCCCAGCCTGCCCAGGGCCAGTTCCTCTGGGAGCTCAGGGCTAGGCCTAGGTTGCAGGTCTGCTGTGGCCTCGCAGCCTGCTGGAAGCCCCGTCTGGAGGGGTGCGGCAGGCCTGGTGCCCTGGGCAGCACACACTGTGCTCCTTCTCTCCTCCTAGCACCTGCTCCGGAGGCCGCTGGAGCTGCCAGGAGGTGCCGTGCCAGGGCACCTGCTCTGTGCTGGGCGGCTCCCACCTGTCCACGTTTGACGAGAAGCAGTACACCGTGCATGGGGACTGCAGCTACGTGCTGACCAAGGTACGGCCCTGGGCACCTGGGATGGCCAGCCTCCCTGGGCCCCAATCCTGGGCTTCACCAGGGGAGACCATGAGGGAGTGCCTGGGTCACATGGATGCTGGTTAGAGTGTAGCGGCCCCTGTCCAGTGCCCTGACCCCTCTGACCTTGCATTTCAGTTTTCAATGGCTCTATTTTTAGAGCAGTTTGGGGGTCATTTGTTGGTCAGGCAGAAAGTGCATTGAACCCCAGCTGCCCACCTCCCCGCCCAGCTCGCCCTCTTATCATCTTGGGTCAACGTGGTGTGGGCCACCACTGAAGAGCAAAACCCACGTGCCCTGGTCCCTGTGTCGTGGCCTCCAGCAGGCTCTCTGGCGAGGTGCACCTGTGGGGTGGATGAGGCCTGGCGTCCTGCATCCACCATGGCAGTGTGGTGGGGAGCCGCTGCCCCGGACGTCTGCTCCCTGTCCCTCTGCGGGCCCCTGGGACCCTGGTCTGCCTCCCCCAGGGCCTCCCCAGCCTCCCCAGCGAGCCTCCCCCAGGACCTGTTTGGAGGCAGTGCTTTCCCTCCGACGGTGAACAGTTTCCTCCCTGGGTGCCGGGCTGTGCCCTCGGGGCTTCTGGCAAGGGGCAGTGTGGGCTGGAGGACAGGGGGAGGCCGACGAGGTGAGCGCCACGTGGCTCCCCACAGCCCTGCCACGACGATGCCTTCACGGTGCTGGCCGAGCTGCGCAGGTGCGGTCTGACCGAGAGCGAGACCTGCCTGAAGGGCGTGGAGCTGCGCCTGGGCGGGGGCCCCACGGTGAGTGTCGCCCAAGGGGGGGACGGGGCGCGACCCCCACTGCCAAGCTTCTCCGCCCCAGCCCTGGATCTGGCCACAGCCAGTGGACCCTCTGCCCCGGCCGGCCGTGTCCCTGCTCGCAGGTCCTCTAAGGGACTGTCCCTAAGTGGAGCAGCTCAGTGCCAGCCCCACCCGGCCCCGGGAAGGAGGGACACACCCCTGGCCAGCGAGGTCTCTGCTGGACTGACACACGGTCTGGTTTTTACGTTGCTAAAAGCACGTGTGGCCCTCGGAAAGGTCAGACTCGGAGCGAGTCAGGGGCAGAACTCAGGGTCGCCGCCCTGTGGGCTGTGGGCACACTCTGCAGCCTCTGCAGGGACCGGGGGCGGTGGTGGAGGCCGCCCAGGCCCCCGCTGACGTGCTGGCTGCCTGCAGGCTGTGGTGGTGAAGGCCAGCGGGGAGGTGTTCGTGAACCAGATCTACACGCAGCTGCCCGTGTCCACAGGTGAGGGCACTGGCCCACTCCCGCCCTGGGGCTGCCTGTGGGTCCTGCCCAGCACCTCCCAGTGAGACCCCTGTGCTGTGTCCACAGCCAATGTCACCCTCTTCAGACCCTCGACCTTCTTCATCATCGCGCAGACCCACCTGGGCGTGCAGCTGGCCATCCAGCTGGTGCCCACCATGCAGGTGTTTGTGCGGCTGGCCCCTGAGCTCCGGGGACTGACCTGCGGTAAGAGGTGGCACCCCGGGGTCCTGGCGCCCACCCCGTCCCTGAGCCCGCGCAGGGCGGCGACATGACTCTCCTCCCCAGGTCTCTGCGGGAACTTCAACAGCATCCAGGCCGATGACTTCCGGACCAACAGCGGGGTGGTGGAGGGCACGGGGGCCGCCTTCGCCAACACCTGGAAGACCCAGGCTGCCTGCCCCAATGCCAAGAGCAGCTTCGAGGACCCCTGCTCGCTCAGCGTGGAGAATGGTACGTGGCCATCGCTGGCTCCCTGAGGACCACTCAGGGCCTAGTGCGCCTGTTTGGGTGTCTCCTGACTCTGTCCTGGGGTACAGCTGTCCCCGCCTCAGGCTAGTGGTGAGCTGGCCATCATGTGTACTGTCACCCGAGAGGTGAGTCTGGGAAGAAGGAATGGGGGGCAGTGTGGAGCCCAGTGTGTCTGCTGGCCGATCGTCAGGTCCGGAGGAGCCTCGGGCCGACCAAGCCGCTCTCCTGCTGTGGCTGCAGCCTGCAGCACTGGGGCCAGCTGCAGGGTGGAGGGGAGTACGCCCATCTTCCTGCGCTGCTGACCGTCCAGCCCCTGCCCCGGGCAGGCGTTCAGCCAGCAGGTCCTGGCTCACTTGCTCTCCCTGTGTGGCCCACCCCTACCCAGAGAAGGGGTGGAGCGGTCTTGTCACGTCCGTCCCTCGTAGTGGCTACCCACGTCCCTAGAAGGTGGTGGCACTGGGGGGCTGGGCTGGGGACCCAGGAAAGGAGAGAAGCAGTAGCCATGGCGTCTCCAGGCCTCACGGGCCCTTCTGTGTCCGAGTGCCTGCTCTATCTGCTGCGGGCAGGAGCAGCCCCGGGTGGGTTGCCCAGGAGTGACCATGGACAGCCTGCCTTTTGCCCACAGAGAAGTACGCCCAGCACTGGTGCTCACAGCTGACCAGCCCTGACGGTCCCTTCGCCCAATGCCACGCCACCGTGAGCCCCAGCACCTACTATTCGGTAATGCCCACCCACCACCCCTGCAGTCCAGGTCCTGCTGCTGGGCTATGGGGATGCCCCCAGGGAGTCAGGGGACACTGAGAAGGGGCGCTGGGCAGCGAGCCTTCTCGGGACCGTAACGGCCCAGCAGGCCCCAGGTGTGGGTTCCAGGACCAAGCCGGTCCCTGGGTCTGTTCCCATGGAGCTCATTCACTAATTCTCCCCCTGACTCATGCACTGGGCCTGCCTGGGACTCCAGCCCTGTACTGGACGCAGGAGCTAACCCAAGCAGGGAGTCAGCCGGGGCAGGGGCTGGACCCCCTGGGCCACAGAGATAAAGGGCCAAGGTCTTTCTGGAGCCCCCAGCCCCATGGGTGGCCAGCCCTGCATGGGGCTCTGCTCAGCTGCACGTGGGGTGTGAGGGAGGACCCAGGGGAGCATCCTAGGAGGCCAAGATGGGGGCCCAGGCAGGGACTGGCAGGGTGGGGGACATTGACCACCTGTGTGCTGAGTCCCTGACCCTGATGTCTCTGGCCCCCAGAACTGCATGTTCGACACGTGCAACTGCGAGAAGAGCGAGGACTGCATGTGCGCGGCCCTGTCCTCCTACGTGCAGGCCTGTGCCGCCAAGGGCGTGCTGCTGCGTGGCTGGAGGGCCGGCGTCTGCAGTGAGTGCCGGGCAAGCGGGCCCCCCCCCAAGGCCCGTCCTCTGCCCAAGGCCATCACAGTCTGGGGCTCTGTCCAGGAGGCCTGGGCCCCTGACTACCCACTGCTGCCCACCTGGCTGTGCCCATCAGCATCCTGAGTGTCCCCTCTTCCTGGCTTCCTGCAGCAAAGCCCACAACCACCTGCCCCAAGTCCATGACCTACCACTACCACATCAGCACCTGCCAGCCCACCTGCCGTGCCCTGAGCGAGGAGGACGTCACCTGCCATGTCAGCTTTGTCCCTGTGGATGGCTGCGCCTGCCCAGAGGGCATGTTCCTGGACGCCTCGGACAAGTGTGTGCCGGCTGCCAGCTGCCCCTGCTACCACAGGGGCTCCATGGTCCCCAACGGCGAGTCTCTGCACGACAGCGGGGCCGTCTGGTGAGACATGCCGCGGGGGTGTGGGACAGGGGCTCAGTGGCCAGAACACACCTGCTGACCGTCTCCTCCTCACAGCACCTGCACACAGGGGACACTGACCTGCATCGGGGGCCCAGCGCCCACCCAAGGTGAGCTCAGAGAGGGGCACGGCTGTCCTCAGGCCCGTCTTCTCCAGGGGAAGCCCTGAATGGCTTCTTTGTCCCCCTCCAAGCTAGGGGGCAGCGGCAGCTGACTGGCCTCTGTGTCTAGCGCCGTCTGAGCCCTGGGCTCTGCCCGGGTTGGCGAGTGACACGCACCAGTGTGGCACTCCACACTCCCCCCACCTGCACGGGCAGGCTCCTCCGCCCCTGGGGGCCATGTGCAGCCGAGCCTGGCTGGAGGGGCTTAGGGTCCCCTGCACCCCTCCTTTTCCCCAGTGTGTGACGCACCTATGGTCTACTTCGACTGCCACAATGCCACTCATGGGGCCACCGGAGCTGGCTGCCAGAAGAGCTGTCATACCCTGGACATGGCCTGTGTGAGTGACTGGTGGCCCCAACAGTCTCCCTGATGGTAGCCAGGGTCCCTCAGAGGTGCTCCTGGGGGAGGGGGTAGCCAAGCTGGGCCAACCGCTGGACCGGGTCCCTGGAGGACCCCTGCCTGCTGACTGGGCTCGCCTACCCTTGGCCCGGTGGAGGACGACGCAGGTCCAGGCAGCTGTCCCCACCACTCACTGTGTCCCTGTGCCCTACAGTACAGCCCCCAGTGTGAGCCGGGCTGCGTGTGCCCCCCGGGGCTGGTGGCCGACGGGAGCGGGGGCTGCATTGCCGCTGAGGACTGCCCCTGCATGCACAACGGGGCCAGCTACAGGCCGGGGGAGACCATCTGGGCAGGCTGCAACACCTGGTATGTGGCTCAGCGCCCCAGGGGACGGTCCTTGTCAGAAGCCGAAGAAGCCCTGGCAAGGCCCCGGGCCCACACACACGGCCCAGGTTCTCAGGGGGACTCTGGGTGGCCCAGGCCGCGAGACCCTCTGGGCATCTGTTGGTCTACTGGGTCCTTCCTCTTGGGCAGGGGTGGCTGCCAGGAAGCACCGAGGGTCCCCGCAGAGCCCCTGGAAGACCCTGACCTGACCCCTCGTCCTCTGCAGCACCTGTGAGAACAGAATGTGGCGGTGCACAGAAGAGCCCTGCCAGGCCACCTGTGCCCTGTACGGGGATGGCCACTTCCTCACCTTCGATGGCCAGCGCTACACCTTCAGTGGGGACTGCCAGTACACGCTGGTGCAGGTAGGTGGTCTGCGCCTCTGTCCATAGCACGCCCGGCCCTGGGGGCTGCAGGCCCACCCGAGCCCCGCCCTGACAACCTCCTCTCCCCAGGACCACTGCGGCGGTAACGGCAGCGCCAAGGATGCCTTCCGTGTGGTCACCGAGAACGTCCCCTGTGGTACCACGGGGACCACCTGCTCCAAGGACATTAAGATCTTCCTGGGGGTGAGTGAGGGGCACAGCTGGGTGGGGCACTCTGGGGGCTCCACGGTGGCACAGAGCACCTAGAGCGCAGGGTCCCCCGGGCCTAAGGGATGCCTTGTCTCACAGAGCTATGAGCTAAAGCTGAGCAGCGGGAAGGTGGAGGTGGTCCAGAAGGGCGCAGGCCAGGAGCCGCCCTACACCATCCGCCAGATGGGCATCTACCTGGTGGTGGACACCGACGCAGGCCTGGTGCTGCTGTGGGACAGGAGGACCAGCATCTTCCTGAGACTCAGCCCCGAGTTCAAGGTGAGGCCGAGGGGAGGCCCCTGCTGTTGTCCCTGCTGGGGGCCATGGGACATACCGGAGGGGCCGAGGGACAGAGTCCGCCAGAGAGAGGGAGAGATGGGGTCTGAGAGCAGATGCAGGGGCTGAGCCTCTGGGCAGCAGAGAGGAGGGAGCCCCGGTGTGTGAGTCCTGCAGCGTCCCAGCCCAGGGAGGGCAGGCTGCGGATGCCCTCAGTCTGGACACTGGGAGTCCAAGCCAGGTGCAGGCTGAGCTCCCGGGAGAGGCCTTTCTGTCGCAGCTTTGGGCAGGGCGTCCTTGTCAGGTGGCTGGGTCACTCCCCATCCTCTGTCATCATGTGGGCCCTCCCTGGGTGCCTGTGTCCACATCCTCCCTGGCATAAGGACAGCGGACATTGGATTGAGGGCCCATTCTACCCCAGTGTGACCTCAACCTACCACATCTGGAAAGGCTCTCTTTCCACTAAGTCTCGGTCCAGGCCCAGGACTGAGTCAGAGCCACTGCCCAGCCCACTCCAGGACACACCGGGCTGGCTGCTGTGGCCCCAGCACAGGCAGGAGGCTGGAGGGAGGGCAGGCCGTGTGGCCCCTGGAAAGTTCACAGTCTCTGATGCTGTGTGGGCAGCAGGGCGTAAGCAGGGCCCTGAGGCCACCCTGCAAACCTCGCACCCCTCCCCTTCCGGGGGACCATCCTGCTGGATGCTCAGGTGGCGGTGGGCTGAGGAAGAGGCTCTGTGCCCAGCCTCCCTTCTCCCTGTGCTTCTGCAGGGCAGGGTCTGCGGCCTGTGTGGGAACTTCGATGGCAATGCCCTCAATGACTTCACCACGCGGAGCCAGGCCGTGGTGGGTGACGCGCTGGAGTTTGGAAACAGCTGGAAGCTCTCCCCGTCCTGCCCGGACGCCCTGGTGCCCAAGGACCCCTGCACCACCAACCCTTACCGCAAGGCCTGGGCCCAGAAGCAGTGCAGCATCATCCACAGTGCCACCTTCGCCACCTGCCATGCCCATGTATGGCCAGCCAGGCAGGGCAGGGGGGTCTCTGGGCTGAGAAGGGACCACGGGCAATGGTCCCAGGAGGCAGAGGGGACAAGAGGGGGAGGGCAGCATCAGCTAAGAGCGCAGAGAGCTGGGCTCGGGGCCCATGTGGACATGCCACAGTGGCCAGGCTGGTGCACTGCTCCTAGCAGCCGTGGCCTGAGTTGTGTGGGGTGTTGCTCTGAGCACTGCCCCAGAAGCCCCAGGCGGGCAGGAGCCTGTGGGCCAGGTGGGAGCTGGCCTGTGGGCACAGAGGCAGTGCTGGGAAACCACTGTAGGCCATGCATTTGCTCTCTTGAGCTCCAGTGGAAACTGGCCCAGGTTAGTGACCACAGGCCAGATCCCCCCAAAGCCCAGTGGCTCCCGGGAGTCTGAGGCCCGTCTCCCTCAGGTGGAGCCGACCATGTACTACGAGGCCTGCGTGGGTGACGCGTGTGCCTGCGACTCGGGGGGAGACTGTGAGTGCTTCTGCACCGCTGTGGCCGCCTATGCCCAGGCCTGCCACGAAGCCGGAGTGTGCGTGTCCTGGAGGACGCCGGACGTCTGCCGTGAGTACAGGGGCCCGGGGCTCCAGGACCCGAGGTGGCAGCTCTCGGCACGTGTGCCTGGCTGCATGCGTGGTCCCTGGAGGAGTAAGAAGGCCTCCAAGGAGGAGGGAAGGGGTGGACGGCGCCCTCGGGTGGAGCGCTCAGCAGAGCTTCCGCCTGGCCCAGAGAAGCCCCGGGACGAGGGCCCAGCTGGGCTGCCCTGGCTGGAGACCCTGCCCTGGTGCCTCCCCTGGTCTGTTTAGAAGGCCCCAGTGCAGGCTGCTCTGACCACCCCCCTTGCCCCCCCAGCGCTGTTCTGCGACTACTACAACCCCCAGGGGGAGTGTGAGTGGCACTTCCAGCCCTGCGGGGCGCCCTGCATGCGCACCTGCCGGAACCCCAGTGGGCGCTGCCTCCACGATCTGCGGGGCCTCGAAGGTGGGCAGGGACCGGCTTCTCAGGCCTGGGCACCCTCACGGGGCTGGGCTCTCCTGACCCCGCGAGGAGCCCGTGGCCTCAGCCTCTAGGGCACGGTGGTGTCGTGGAGAAGGCTGAGGGCTGGGGACAGTGCTGGGGCCCTCCTAGGGTGGGGTGGCCAGCTGGCCTCTGTGGCTGGGACTCAGTCCTCTCTGTCCCACAGGCTGCTACCCCAAATGCCCACCGTCGGCTCCCATCTTCGATGAGGACAAGATGCAGTGTGTGGACAAGTGCCCAACCCCAACACCCCCCCCACCCTGCCGCATCCACGGGAAGTCCTACCGGCCCGGGGCCACCGTGCCCTCGGACAAGAACTGCTACTCGTGGTGAGTCCCTTGGCAGGGGGCCACAGAGCCTAGAGCACGTGGGGGATCCAGGCCCCTAACCAGCAGCCCCCGGGACTCGGGCCTGCAGGACCAGAGGGTGCCCTGGCCGGGTCTCTGGGGGAGGGCCTCAGCTCTCAGGGGTGCTGTCTGCCGTGATGGGCCGGTGGCTCTGGGTCCGGGTTCTGGACCTCGGCAGGCATTTCTCAGGGGCTATCCCCCTGATTCCCCAGGCTCAGAGGCGAAGCTGAGTGTTGGTGCTTGTTGGTCGGGGGACTCTTGGGGTGCGGGGACCGGCAAACAGGCGGGTGGTGGGGGAGCTGAGGCCAGATGATCTGCCAGGGACCCAGGGGTGGGCAGCCATCGCCATGGTTGGGTAGAGCACCAGCAGCTCCTGGGCCCCCCACCCGGCTTCCACTTGTGTGGACTGGGGAGTCCTCCAGAGGGTGGGACCTCGGGAAGCTAAGTTTGAAGTCCCAGGCCTGGGCAGGGACTCCACCCCCGGCAGTGGGCATGGCCGAGGGCAGGCTGTGCTGGCGCCCGTGCCCCAGCCCTCCTTCCCTCTCCCCAGCATCTGCACCGAGAACGGCGTGCACTGCGCCTACGACAGTGGTGGTAAGCAGCCGTGGCCTCCTGGGTCTGGGGTCTGGTGGGGAGGGACTCTGCCTCGCCTCAGCCCTCTCACAGAGGGCTGCTGTGCTCCTGCAGCCTGCGTCTGCACCTACGACGGGCGGCACTTCCACCCGGGGGACGTCATCTACAACACGACAGACGGCATGGGCAGCTGCATCTCCGCCCACTGCGGGGCCAACGGCACCGTGGAGAGGAGGGTCTTCACCTGCAGCCCCTCCACCCCCAGGCCCCCGACCACCTTCTCCTTCTCCACGTCCCCACACAGTAAGGACAACGTGTGATGGCAAAGGGCCCCGGGGGTCCTGGGGGTGTCGCTCTCCCAGCGGACTGGCGTGGCTTCTCTTGCTGGAGGCCAGGTTCACGCCCAGCTCTGGGCAGCGGTGGCAGCCCCTGGGTATCGGGCACGGCAGTGGCTCACTCTCTCCTCCTTCCCTGCCATGGGAAGGGGCTGGCTCCAGGGTTTCACTCTGGCTGACCTGGAATCCACAGCTCCTTGGGGAGCTCAGGCCCCGGGCCAAGGCTTCCAGCACAGGGCAGCCATAGACACGTGGCTTCCGCTCAGGGCAGGCCCGGGGGCAGATGCCCTGTACTGAGGTCAATCCACTTGTTTATTGAAGAACTGTGATGCCCACCGGCCCACTGTGGGCCAGGTTCTGAGCAGACAGGTTCTTTTGTGTGTCCCTGGTCATTCAAATTTCAACATTGGCCCATTTGCTGTGGGGAAGCCCACCAGGCAGCCCCCAGGACAGAAGGTCATCAGAGCCAGGACCCAGTGAAGCCAGCCTACGTGTGCCCAGGCTCAGCCCGCAACCTTCTTTTCCCACAGCATTCAGCTTGAGGCAGACCACAGGTGTGGGCTCCAGCCCCACCCAGAGCACGGTGCACCCAGTGCCTGTGAGCACAGCCTCATCCACAGCCACGGGCACGCCCCTCAGGACCACGCCTGCCACACCCCCTGTTTCGTCCTCTGTCCACTGTGGGGAGAAGTGCCTGTGGTCCCCCTGGCTGGATGTGAGTCGTCCCGGGCAGGGCGTGGACAGTGGTGACTTCGACACGCTGCAGAACCTCCGTGCCCACGGGTTCCGGATTTGCCAAGTGCCGAGGGCAGTGCAGTGTCGAGCTGAGGACGCGCCCGAGGTGCCGCTCCAGGCCCTGGGTCAGCGCCTGGAGTGCAGCCCGACAGCTGGGCTGACCTGCCACAACAGGGACCAGGCATCAGGCCTGTGCCACAACTACCAGATCAGGGTCCTGTGCTGCAGCCCCTTGCCCTGCCCCACCTCCAGCCCTCCAGCCAGGCACAGGACTACCAACACGGTCCCCATGACCAGTGCCACCGTGTCCTCCACACCTGTCAGAACATCGTTCCTGAAGTCTAGCCCAACTCCAAAAACAACTTCAGGAACACCCTCTGCCTCTGCATCACCCCCGGGAAGGTCCCAGGTCACGAGTGTGCCCACCACCTCTGGAGTCAGCCCGGTGAGCTGCTTACGGGAGTCCTGCACTTGGACACAGTGGATGGATGGCAGCTACCCCGGGCCTGGAAAGGACAGTGGAGATTTTGACACTTTTCACAACCTGAGATCCAAAGGGTATAAGTTCTGTGAAAGGCCCACAAGTGTGGAGTGCAGGGCTCAGTTCTTCCCCAACACGCCCCTGGCAGAGCTGGGACAGCAGGTGACCTGCAACTCTGAGGAAGGGCTCATCTGCTGGAACAGGGACCAGCTGCCGCCAATCTGCTACAACTATGAGATCCGGATCCAATGCTGTGAGCTGGTGGACGACTGCAGGAACGAGACCATAGGGACCCCGAAATCCATCGCCACACACCCCAAGTCCACGGAGGGCAGCACCACCACGAAGACCACTGTGACCACGGGAAGTCAGGCCACCTCGACAGGGCACACTACCCACCCAACACCAGTGCACACAAGTAGAGGGACATCAGTGGGCACAAAGGTCACCCAATCCCAGACCACCGACTGCCAGCCACAGTGCACCTGGACCAAGTGGTTCGACGTGGACTTCCCAGACCCCGGGCCCCATGGCGGAGACACGGAAACCTACAGCAACATCCTGAGCAAGGGAGAGAGGATCTGTCTCCAACCTGAGGACATCACCCGGCTGGAGTGCCGAGCCGAGAA